TCTACTTTGTGTTGATTTTAATAAATTTATATATTTTACAATTAAAATAATTTATATATAAAATTAATTATTTTAAATTTATAAAAGTAAAATTATAATTTAATAAAATATTATAATATAATTAATGAATAATCAAAATATATTTATTTGTGTAAAATGCATAATAAATTTTTAAGGGCAACTAAGGAATAAAAAAAAATTTAACTAAAAAAGCTATTTCAAAACCACAGGTAAGTTAGCTTTTAAAAAATTAGCTTTTTGGGTCTAAAAAGCTATTCCAAAAAACTAATTTACCAAATACCTAAATTAACTATTTGACTGATCAAACAACTAAAAACTGTCGAATAAGCTAAAAGCTATTCAAAAAGCTCATTTTGCCAAACACACTCATAATTTTTTGTTGTGAATTTAAATTCCCAACAATGTTTAAAATATTTAATTATCTATTTTAAATTTCTTTAATCATATGTTAATCTTTATTTTAAAATAATAGTAACACCATTTATATATAAAATAATATTATAGCTACTATAATTAACTAATTAAATTATACTTCCTTTGTCCCCAAATAAACGAGTCATTTAGGGTTTAATAGTAAATTAAAAAATAATACTCCATCCGTCTCAAATATCCTGCAACATTTCCTTTTTGGTATGTCCCAAACACCCAGCAACATTTCCAAAATAGAAAATAATTAATTATACTTAATTTCTACTCCACACTTTATCCCCTCACATCAACCAAATAAAAAAATAAAATATATATTTCTCTCTCCATCACATCACTTAATTTCTAAATTATCCTACTTAATACTACCCACCTAAAAACTTTTGTCAAAAGTAAATGTTGCACCTTGTTTGGGATGGAGGGAGTAGTATTTTATTAGTCAGTGGAAGTGTGTAAGAATTTTGGACAGTTTTGCCCTTTGAATTTATGTATGAAGTAATTGCATGTGTCATATGTTTGTAATTTAAGTAAAAGTTAAAGATATTTTGGTATTAATGTGATTATTTTTTAAAAAATGGAAAAAATATACTTTTAAAGTGGAATAGACGAAAATAATAAAAAAGATAATTTGAAATTGAAAGGAATGAGAACTACTTAAAATATTGTATTCGTAACCAAGAGGGGTCATTTTAATAGTAATGAAAGAGTATGAAATTATTGGATACACAATCTAGTGTGTGTTTAATTGCAAGTTGGGTGTTGGAATTTTAATTTTACTATTTAGTGTTGAAGGATGTAAATGACCGTCTCATCTAAAAGTTTGATACCATTTTAGATAGTATAAATTACCGTTTTACCTGAAAGTTTAAACTTGTGAGATACGTATCATTTATTTATTTACAAAAGGAAGTTAACCAAGATTGAGTAATGAAATATTGTGTAACTACTATTAATTAAATTATGATATAATATGTATTTGATTAAAATAAACTATATGTATTTAAATATTTAATAAATATTTTTCATAACTTAATACTATTAAATATAAATATTTGTAGAGAACAAAATTTATATAATATAAATAAATAAATATTATATTTATACATAATTAATAAATATGTTTAGAAAAAAATCAAAAAATTTAAATGTATTGAAGTATATTTGTTTATTAATGATAGAGATTAAAAAAAAATAAAACAAAAACAAATTATAAGTGGCCATACCTTACAATTTTTTAAGATATAAAAGAAAAAGAGAAATACAGGGTATGTTCATTTTTATTTTTTTTTTTATGAATGTATTTATTTATCTTAACTAAAGAAAATTGCGTCTTTAATATAAAAATAATATTTTATATTAAATTATTGATTTTTATAAATAAGTAAAAAAAATATTTCTTCCGTTTTATAACAAGGTATCCATTTATCTTTTGTGTCATTGTACTTAATGTTAAAAATATCCTTATATTTGTATATTTTTTTATACAAATGTCATTATATTAGTATTATAAGACACTCATAGAAATATTTTTGTAATTTTTTCTTGATTTGTAATACGTTTTGATATAATAATTAATATCCAAATATCAATATGCAAAAAGTAAATGTATACTTAGTTATGGGACGGAGGAAGTATACTTTATATATACATAAAATAAATATGTTTTCGAATATATATATATATATATATACATAATAAGATGAAGCACATTTTTCTTTACTTTATATGTAGAAGATCTGGGATCAAATGAGCACATTTCCTCTGTTGTCAAACCCTTGTTGACTTTTTTGTGTAATTAATAGTAGTATTTCCCTTCGAATCTGCATTCTGACTTTGCAAATCACCTTTTTCATATTTTGGGCATATTCTTTTAAATATTTTTAAAAATGTATTTTTTATTATTATATATTTTTAAGGGTGTGTTTGGTTTGTGTTTCCCGCATAAAAATTAATATTTTTTTTTTGTTTAAATAGAATTTTTATATAATATTTTATAATTACATAAAATAATACTCTCTCTGTCCCGTTGGAAGTGTGACGTTTGCTTTTTGCACATAAATTTTTGAATATTAGTATTATATTGGATTGTAGTAAAAAAGACAAAAATACCCCTATTAGTATGGTGTAATATAAAAGTAATGACATTTGTGTAATATATTGTAAGTTGAAAGGGTATTTATTATGTGAAGTAGGTAGTACAATTACTAAATTATGAAATAGTAACCTTGTTTTGGGATGGACGAAAATGGAAAATTGTAACATTTAATGGGACGGGGGGAGTAGTATTTTATCAGTGAGTGAAAGTATGCAAAATTATTTCGATATTTTTGTTTGTAAAAGCACAAATGAGATGAACAAATTTTTCTTTTTCTTTTTTTATAAAAATTAAGAGTATTTTGATATTTATATATGATTATTTTTACTATATTTGAAATTTTTTAATTTTGAATGTAATAGATGAAAATAATAAAAATAGAAAAATATATTGAATTGGAACAAAAAAATAAATATTTTTCAATGCAATATTGTCAAATTAATTGACGTAATCCATTAAAAAAATATAATAAAATTAATGTATGACTGAAATATTATAATAAAGCATTTGTAATAAGAATGGACTGATATTATTACTTATGGCTAATGTGAATAACCGTAATAATAATATAAAATTTGCAATATATGATTTTAAGAATAAACTATTTAATTTATTATATAGGTAAATACGCTCCTAAAAATTTAATTATATTAGATGATCATAATATTATTCCTTAAAAAATATAACTATTATATTACATATTTATAATAAACTTATTGTGGCAATCTTAAACTCCTGCCTATTGTTTTTTTTTTCACGATTTTCCAAAAAAAATAATATACTCCACACATTATTATTTTTATATTTACTATACAATTTTCTATACTTCACATAAAAAAAAATTAAATTAAATTAATAAATAACAATCTCACAAAACAAACACAACTTAATTAATAAAATTAAAAATCTCCACTGTTTAAAATTAAACGTCTTAATATTTATTCTTGAAAATAAATTGATGATGTCTTATTATATAATTATAATAGTAGAGGTGTTCATAAAAATATATACACGACGAGGAAAAATAAATAAAACAATAAGGAAATGAAAAAATAAGAAAAGAATAATTACTTGATTTTATCTTTATTGTTTTTTAATAAAATAATTATTAGATTTGATGTTTCAAATGAAAATTAAACATTGAGTACAATATTTTTAATGGAGAATTTAATCGATATTGATGTGATATTTTAAATATACAATTTATTTTTATTATAATATAAAAAAATTAAAAAATATGCTAGATATGCTTTTGGAAGAAATTTTTTTTTTTAATGAACAATAGAAATTCTTGAAAATTTCTTAAAATTACAAACACAAACCTAAAAGGATTCATTTAAAAGACGCCATAATTTGATGTGTTAAATAAGATCCAATTTTTAGTTATCCATCGAAAAAACCTATATATACATTTGGCAAGAAAATTATTACTCAAAAATTACGGCCCAAATCGGCTAGAAGAACGAAGGAAAAAATCGAAAAAGAAACCCTAATAGCGAACTTCAAATGATTTGCAAAGTAAGTCCAACTCGATATAACATTTTACATAGGATTCGATTGACTATCAATTTAAATAAATTGGGCAAGAAAACTATTCTCGACAATCCATAAATACGAATAGTCGGCCCAAATCGACTAGATAAAATAGCATTTAATTATAACGGATATTCAAATAACAGGTGTAATTACTATATACAAAAAATCGAGAATAACGTGCATACGTTCAAAATAACGTTATTCTCGTAAAGTCCAGCTAAGCTCACAATAAATTCACATTCCGACTCACTTAACTAATTAAGATTCCCAAATTTAAAGTAAGTACACCAATATATTTTCAAATTAAAATTCAAATTCAAATTCAAATTAATGAGTTGTATTATCTTATATTTATTATTAATTTAAGAAAAATAAAAGTCCAACAAAGTCAACCAATTTGCATATCTCTTCCAATAAATTCACCATAATAATAAATATATAGGAGTATATCTGTTTCATGGACAGTCAAGTCAACCACTATTCAATTGATTTATTAATAAATAAATAAATAAATAAAATCACACTAATATTATTTTAATAATTAACATTAAAAAGAAAATTAAGACAAAAATAGAAAAAGGTATACTGTGGGGGGCCAGTCTGGTCAGCTCCATAAACTCTAACTGTGTTTTTTTTTTTTTTTCTTTGTTTTCTAGAAAACACAAACAAACACACACATACATGTTTGTGTGTATGTGTAATAAATACGTACACAAATCTGTATCTATCTGTATGACGAATTACCTGGTGTGAATGATTTGTGTCCAAAAAGAGTGCGCTCAGAGGAGAGCTAAAAACTCATAGAAACAGCTCAGACGGTACTGTCCCTTTCTCTCTCTCTATATATATCTTTCTCTCTCTATATATATATCTCTCTCCAACAATATTTGCAGTCGGCGTTTCCGATCCCTCTTCTGAAAATGTTGAACCTCTACCCTCCCTCCAATGGTGCTAAGCTGGAGATGCAGAAGCTCGTGCTTCGTATGAATCCTCCCAGGTCTCTCTCTAGCTCTCTCTCTATATATACATACATATGTATTTGCTGAAACCCTAAATGTTGAGTAAATTGGGGATTTGGTAGGGTTACTGTTGACAATGAAGACGACAAGAACACGACTCGGATCAAGGTATAGATGCAAAAAAAATTGAAATAATTACTTAAAAAAGAATAAAAATTCTAGAGAGAGGGAGAGACCTCGGTATCATCGGCGCCATGGATTTGCAGGTGGAAAGCTCGAATAAAAGGGGAACCTTGCTGGAAGTGGTGCAAGTTCTTAACGATCTAAATCTCATAATCAAGAAAGCCTACATTTCCTCCGATGGCCAGTGGTTTATGGATGGTTAGGGTTTTTTAATTAATTTTTTTTTTATTTTTTCCTGATTTGTTTCCATTTATTTGATCAATTTGCTAAAATAGATTTTTTTTTTTTCCCTAAGTTTTTGATGTTACGGATTCATATGGCAATAAGGTCCATGATGTCGAAGATCGAATCGCCGACCGGATTCAACAGGTACGTGTGTATGTATATATATATATATATGTATGTATGGCATTGTGTGTTAGGAAAAATTATTTGTTCGGATTTTTGTAGAATATGAGTGAAGGGCTGGATTGAAAGAAATGATTTCTATAAAAATGTTTTATAAAAATTTATCGAATATTAGCGATTTTATAAAATAAATTAAAAAAATCTATAAAAATGTTTTATAAAAATGTTTTATAAAAAATGATTTCTATAAAAATGTTTTATAAAAATTTATCGAATATTAGCGATTTTCCTCGCACTTTCTAGAAACAATTCTAGATCCAAAACATTGCATCGCAATATTTATAATTTCATTACAATATAATTATTAAGGAAAATAAACATCGACATTGAATTATTGTAAAAAATTAATTTAAATGAGTGACAAATATAGTAAAGTCTATTTTAAGCCTTACAAAACATATATAATCATAATATATTTCTAAAATATTTATGTAAACTCTGTTGGATCCTACTTGGCCGGGGTGCAATCATGAACTCTTGATTTAGATTCTATTTAAAATTTTATTTGATATTCAGATTCGTAAGTGACCTGATATCCGATTTATATCTTACCCGATATTCGAGTAAATGAATCCTAGATCATTGAATATTGTTGAATATTGTTCCGCGTTGCTAAATATGTGGGAACTTCTCTACTATATAAGAGCAAAGGGTCACTCCACCTATCACCTATATACATTGATAAAAAAAATTTCGTCACCACAAATATATAACGAATACTTTCAAATATGGGTAAGCAACTTTTGAAATTTTATTTAATGTTCGATTCATAACTCACCTGATATCCGATTCATACCTTACTGGATACTCGAATTAAGTAAATCCTAGATCATTGGATATATGTCCAACAAACATACATCGATAACGCTTTTTGTCGACACAAACATATAACGAATACCCTCAAATAGGTGTAAGCGACTTAAGGCGAGTTAATACACAAGAACTTTTGAAATGAAGACATATATCCTAACCTTAGATACTTCGAAAATACGTTAAAGGTATATTCTTTCGCACTTTCTTCTCGACGTTCTCTTTAAAGGCTTGGATATTTTCTAGTACTCAAACGTAATCTTGCTTTTTTCTCATACTGTATTAGATTCTTGATTTTATGTTACAACGACAATGTAGGTGTTGGAGCAACGAGAGTGGAACTTCTTGATGGAGTATTCGATCGACATGGACATGGACGTGGGCTTGGGCGTCGACGTGGAATGTGTAGCCGAGTACACAACAATCGAGTTGATAGGGAGAGACCGGCCGGGGTTGCTTTCGGAGGTATTCGCCGTACTCACCGATCACCAATGCAACATCGTCGGCGCGGAGGTGTGGACGCACAATTCGAGGATGGCCTCGATTTTGTGCATCACCGACGCCGCGAGCGGGCTCGGGATAGGCGAATCGGATCGCATCGACAACATCAAGCAACTCCTCCATCACGTCCTTAAAGGCAACCACGAGTCGTCGCAGGGCGCGAACATGGCCGTGATGCCTGTCGAAGCCACGGCTACGATGCACGTGCACAGGAGGCTGCATCAGATGATGTACGAGGATCGCGACTTCGACAACCAGAACTCGGTCGTCGAAGCGCGGTCCAAACCAGTCGTGAAGCTCGAAAATTGCAACCAGAAAGGGTATACTCTCGTCAACATGGTCTGTCCAGACCGCCCTAAGCTGCTGTTCGACACCGTCTGCACGATCACGGATATGGAATACGTGATCTTCCATGGCGCCATTGTCGCCGAAGGACCCGAGGCTGAGCTGGTAACCATCGTTTGATTCGATTACATTGCGCGAAAAGATTGAAACAATGAATGTGGAACTTGACAACTCTTACATCCTCTGTTTTTGGTAGGAATATTACATAAGGCACTCGGACGGCGGAACCGTCAGCTCCGAGGCTGAGAGGCAACGCGTGATTAACTGCTTGGAAGCGGCGGTGAAGAGACGATCGTTCGAGGTAGTATACTAGCAAAAGTTTGATACAATTCTATCGTACTGTTTTAAATCAGAGTTATCCATATTTGTTATATAGACTATCGATACGCCACCCATCCGTACAAGGTAGCAAGGTAAATTTATGTCACATACAATCATATATGGCATGGGATCCTCAGCATCAGCCTCCCCAGCCCCGCCCAGCCACATCACTCAAAAGTGATATATATACATAATACATACATATTATATATATACACATAATGTATTAGATGGGGCTGAGCGGGGCTGGGGAGGCTGATACCAAGGATCCCATGCCAAATCATATACGTGGTCAGACTTGAATATAGGATATTTAGCTCTGATATCATGTTAAATGATCATTTTACATAAAAATTTAGTTGAGACGATCATTTAACAGTATTAATCTTTTGAAAAATTGACATACATGTATGTATATTGTGTGATGTTGATGTAGGGTATCCGGCTCGAGCTCTACGGGAACGATAGGTTGGGGCTTCTCTCGGACGTGACGAGGATAATGAGGGAGAACGGTTTATCGGTGACTCAAGCCGAAGTTAGGACAAGGGACACCAGAGCGATGAATGTTTTTTATGTGACGAATGTGTCGGGGGGCGGGTATATGAAAAGTGAAACTATTGAGGCTATAAAGAAGGAGATTGGACTCTATGTGAGCGACGAAGCGCTCGACTCGTCGTGGGTGAGGCCCGAGCGCGCGTCTCTCGGGAACATCTTGCTTTCGCGATCGTCGCGATTGCTACAAAATTTGGGGATCAATATATCGAGATCGAGGAACCTTTGTTGGTCATGAATCTGGCAACAAAGAATGATCCTCCTATCTTGATGATCTTCTAAGGAACTCTTTCATTTCTAAACTCTTTTCTCAAGTGTTTCATAGACAACATTCGAACTTTTATGTTTGTATGTATTGATTATGTATGTTTGTGTTTGTATTTTACATTTGTTGCTCTGATTCGATTGCCTTGTTCGTTCTATTCGTATGACTAATTTTAATATGTTTCAATTTGTTACAAGGCAATCGAAGAAATTGAAACAATGAATGTGTATATTTTATTGCTAATCTTAATATGTTTTGAGTGTACATTAGGGTGTGTTTGTTTGGAAGTTGCGATTTTGGTTTGAGATTTAAAAATAGTAAAATATTTGAATTTGAATAATTGTACGATTTGATATAAATAGATAAATAGGAATTATATGATATTTTGAATATAAAATTAATTTTTAATATAATAATAATAAAATAAAAAATAAATGTTTAATTTAATATTTTTTTAAGGAAACAAAAATGAATAGTAAAAAATTTGTAAAATTGAATAAAATAACACACCCATATATAAAGTTTTAGATTCGGCTAGTAACCTGCAAATTATGTTATTTGGAAAACTGGTCACGAGGTTTTTTCGAACTCAAATTCGAATGGCTCAGCCGAATATTAAATTAGAGATAATAATTATGAAAATGATGAAAAAATAAAAAGTAGAATGTCTTGCATTCTAATGAGCTTTTGAAACAGACGGGATATGTAACATGTGACTATCTTCTCTACTTTTCATTATTATTTAAATAGAATAATTATTTATAGTATACTAGTTTAATTAAAATATGAATATACTAGTATATATTAAATAACAAATAAATATGTACAATGCCAATCCAAAAAAAACAAGCCACAAAAATTTGAAGACCCTGGGGCCTTGGTCGTATATATAAAAATATATTTAGTCATGTAGGCTCACCGATCATTTTTAAATGGATTGATTTTTTATATATATTATAGGGAATTATATCAAAAGTATAAAAGTATAAAATATACTCTCTATGTTCCAATATAATAGTTTTGTTTACTATTTTTGTCAATTCCAAAACAATAGTCTCATTTACATAAATACTTATAGCACCATAAAATTATCTATATTTTTTTCATTATTATTACACAAATATCACTACCATTGGAACAATATTTCCTCCAACTATTTTTGGCATATGGTTCTTCTTGCTTTCATGCTGCTGCTTTTTCAGATTTCCATTTGGAGTAAGTGGTCTTGTCTGGTTGCTGCAACAGACTGTTAACAACATTGTTTATCTTACACTCTCTCGGTTGGTGAGTATACAAGACAAATGAATGGATGTTTTGGGTGGTCAACATGTCACAGATTTCATGCAGGAATACATCATTCATTTTATGTGCAAAGGGTTTTAATTGGTTTTATCTTACATGCAAAGCAAGATGACTTTATAGATAATTGTGAGGAGAGAGTGTGGTTGTTGGAAAGTTTTGAGAATGTGTGTAGTGAGAGAAAAATTGAGTTAAATCCTCTCAACCCAACCTTTCTCTTCTCCATGTATTGAGTGAGTGCTAGACACTTTTACCTGCCGGAGACTTCGTCGGAGGAAGGAGAAATCAGAGTTCCGATCAGGGGAGGCGTCCAGATTCTGAGCAGCTCTGCTCCGTGATAGTTGTCAGCACAAGTTTGTGACAACATAAGCCTGTGGAGGGAATTTTCAAGGTAAACTATGTTAGGAGGATAAGTTGAAGGAGTTGTGGTTGTCTATGTTCTTAATCAGCACTGATTAGTGAACTTCTCTTTGATTAGTATCCCCCGGATGTAGGATTGTTTATATCCAAACCGGGTAAACAAACATTTGTCTCGTTTACTGCTTTTTATTTTCCGCATACATTCAGTTGGCAGTAGGGTGTTACAAATGTGATATAACTACGCTTCGGGAGTTGACCCATTTGGATAAGTGTACGAGGATTTATTGGAGTAGCACTTATTTCCATCCCAACATTTGATATCAGAGCAGTGTTCTCTAAGTTGCTGAGTAGATCCTTTCACAGTTGCAAAGATGAGCAAGGAAAGTGGTTCAACCTCTAAACCTCCATTGTTTGATGTCACAATTTATTGAAGTGTGGAAGATATGCAGCTGGTTGAATCAGACAAGGGGATATCGCTTTTGAGTCAAAAACTTTCAAGGATGGTTAGTGAGAAAAGAGCAGCCAAGCTGAAGTATAGGAAATTCCAAAATATAAGTGGTTATCAAGGAGTGAATACGTCCGGTTCACAAAGAAAATACCCTGAGCAGAAACCAACTACTTACGGCAAGCCAAAAGAAAAACTCGATGGTAAATTCAAGAAGAAGTTCACTGTGTCTCTTAAGCCTGGATCTGTCCAAGAGCCTACATGCTATGGATGTGGAGGAATTGGTCATGTTAAATCCGAATGCCCTACGGTGAAGAAAAGGGAGAGAGCTTATCAAGCCACTCGGAGTGGTAATGACAATGAAAGGGCTGTTTGAGGCAAAGAAAACTCAGAAAACGATAAAGTGATTGCTTTTATGGCCGATGTAGCTGAATCCATTAAGGATGGTGATTTTTCTACTTCTGAAGTTGCTGAAAAATCAAGAGAACTTGATGCTGATGAATTAACCAAAGCTTACAAGGAAATGGTGGCTGAACAAAAGAAATCATTGGTGAAAAATAAGGAACTTTTGGATACAATTTATCGATTGGAAGCTCAAAAAGAAAAGTTGGATGATGAAATCAAAAATTTAAAGAATGATGTTCATGAAAAATCTGATGAAGCTGATGGATTAAAGGCTGAAAATATGTAGTTGAAGCAATAGAATGATCGACTTTGAAAAGGCAAGGATAAACTCGATGAAGTTCTTTCGATTGGAAAACCTTTCGGAGATTACAAAGGAATAGGTTTTTGTGAATCTTCTAAAAGCAAACCAACTACATTTGTTCGTGGTGGACTTTTTGCTGATGTCGAAATTCCAGAAGAGAAACAAATCCCAATTGTGAAGCAAAACTTGAAAAGAAACAGAAACAGAGATTCGAATGAAAATCGCAGAGCACAGGGTGTTAGACGGATGTCATCACGACATAACGAGTGCGGATACTGCAGATGTCTTGGACATACAACTGAAAAATGTTTTAGATTGGCGAAAGATGTAATGAATGGAAGAAGCATTCGATGGCCTACTGAAAGACTGAAGCAGATTGTTAAAGTCAAATTGGTGTGGATGCCCACGGAAAATCAAAAGGCAAATATTCTTACGAAGGCGTTGAAGGTGGATCGATTTGAAAAGTTTCGACGTCATTTGGGTATGCATTCGTACCCTACTTGATTTTGCATGTATGGTCTTGAAATAAATTATCTAATATATTTATGGTGTTTAGAATATTCTTGGTGAATATTGGAGAATGAAAATAATTTGAAAAGAATTTATTTTGAAAAATCCTAAAAAAAGAAATATTGAAAAGAGATTTAAGTGGACAATGGTTGATTTGATGGAATGGTGAGTGCTCATTGCACAATCCATTGTTGTTGAGTTGTTGTTAATGCTGCGAAGTTGCTACTGCAACAAAGCTGAATCTGAATCAACCGAAGTTGTTGGTGTTGTTGCCGATGTTGCTGCTGCAACCATTTATCAGTAAATTGAGGATGTTTTTAAGGACATTGATCTTTTTGGCATCTGCTCTTCGAGGGGAAGAGATGTGCATAGTAAGGGGAGTCTGTTGTGCCTGTTGTTTTTGCAGTAAGGGGGAGCCCTGGTGATTTGTTGTTGCTGCTGTTAATTAACTTTTATGTGGTTGTGTGCACGATGTTATCTCAACCATTTCATGCGAAAGGCTGCTTGTAGCCTATGTTTTATTTCGGCGTGTAACAAATTGATGAACTTACTGTCTGAATTATTGGATTGATTGGTTTGGTGTGGGAGTGATTCTCCTGCACATTGGGCGAAGTCTCATATGCCAAAAATGGGGAGAATATTGGAACAATATTTCCTCCAACTATTTTTGGCATATGGTTCTTCCTGCTTTCCTGCTGCTGTTTTTTCAGATTTCCATTTGGAGTAAGTGGTCTTCTCTGGTTGCTGCAACAAACTGTCAACAACATTGCTTGTCTTACACTCTCTCGGTTGGTGAGCATATAAGACAAATGAATGGATGTTTTGGGTAGTCAATATGTCACAGATTTCATGCAGGAATACATCATTCTTTTTATGTGCAAAGGGTTTTAATTGGTTTTGTCTTACATGCAAAGCAATATGGCTTTATAGATAATTGTGAGGAGAGAGTGTGGTTGTTGAAAAGTTTTGAGAGTGTGTGTAATGAGAGAAAAAGTGAGTTAAATCCTCTCAACCCCAAACTTTCTCTTCTCCATGTATTGAGTGAGTGCTAGACACTTTTACCGGCCGGAGACCTCATCGGAGGAAGGAGAAATCGGAGTTCCGATCAGGGGAGGCGTCCAAATTCTGAGCAACTCTGCTCTGTAGTCGTTGTCAGCACGAGTTTGTGACAACATAAGCCTGTGGAGGGAATTTCCAAGGTAAACTATGTTAGGAGGATGAGTTGAAGGAGTTTTGGTTGTCTATATTCTTAATCAGCATTGATTAGTGAACTTCTCCTGGATTGGTATCCTTCGGATGTAGGATTGTTTATATCCGAACCGAGTAAACAAACCTTTGTCTCATTTACTACTTTGTATTTTCCGCATACATTCAGTTGGTAGTAGGGTGTTACAACTGTGATATAACCACGCTTCGGGAGTTGGCCCATTTAGATAGGTGTTCGAAAGTTTATATTGGTGAAGCACCTTTTCTTTCCCAACAACTACTTTTTACACTAATACACTCTCTAAGGACCAAAAAGTCTCTTATTTAATTTTTTACCAACCAATTATCAATATTATTTAAATATCGTGTTCAACCCAAATAAAAGTATAGTTTTGGAACGAATGGAGTATTATTTTGAGTTTAATATGAATTTTGACTTTTTGATTTTTTATAATACAAATTTGAAGTTTTTTTTTTACCTTTGACTTTTGTAAAAGATTTTATATATTGTTTAATATTATTTTTGGGGAAACGCAAATGCCCCGTCTCGGATTAATTTTCCACGTTACTACAGATATGAGAATTTAGGTAAAATATAATTTATAGTAA